AACAAGAAGAGGGCTATCGTTGTAGTAAGGTTAAGAAGACGATACCTAAATAAACAAGCACGAAATAACCTATCTATCCTTCTCATTCACTACATGAAATGAGCGCCAAAAACAATCGGAAGATAGGTTTTCGGCGAAAAAAGCGGGAGGCTACTATGTGGAAGCCAGGATGTTCGTATCTTCTTATACTTACACACGAGGGGAGCAAAGAACCTTCGACAGACGATTCATCGCTCTACTCTGGATCTTTACTCTGTGGGTTATTTGCTAGGGGTGGATTTTTATGGTTAGTACCGAGGGAGCCAAGAAGGGTCTCGGCCAACGCCCACTCGAAACCTTACCCTAGCCTTGGACCGAGCACGCTCGGTCACCGCTTGACATTCCTCGTCACATCTCAACAGAGGAAAACGGCCTGCCTCCGGTGGTAGGCATATACCACCTCGCCGCCATATTGGGACCTCAGCTCACACGGAGTTGAAGGAATTCACAGAATGGTCGAATCATTTCTTGTGTACGGCCCTCCCCCCTGAAAGCGAGTGACGATGTACAGCAGCAGCAGTAGTAGTAGCAGGTACACACCGTGATGGCGCCTTCAGAATATCGAAAGGTAGAATTCCACACATAGGGTGAATTGAACCTGCCAGGTCTATGCCCTAATGCTTGCCCCGAGAACTAACGTCGACCAATGTGATGCATAGCTGCCGCGCCTGATGGTGCCCTTGGTCCTGTAACTTCTAGCCAAGGGAGTAGTAGTAGCTATAGTCTAGAAGAAGTAGAAATCAGCTGAATGCTGACGATGCTTGTGCGCTTTCCTTCGTAGGCACATGTGCAAGGTACTAGACTATATATAGTAGGAACGACACGACAACCTATTACATTTCAACGGAATGGAAAATCTTTTGAAGAAAACGGTTTGCACGAACGACGAACAGGGCAACATCAGTAAGTACTATGCATGCAGAACTGCAAGAACGGTGCGAGCGAATGAATGGTTTCACCTTCGAAATAAAGCAGCAGTGAAAAATAACAAGCTGAAGTTAATTACGTCCTCCGTAAAGTGGTAATTTTCAAGGACCCGATTTTGGTTGTCCCTTCAGAACTTTGGACTGAGAGCGACTAAAAGAAAAAGAAAAACAGCTTCGGAACGCCCGCGGCAAGGCGCAAAAGAGTAGTGAGTCGCCAAAAAAAAAAGGAAAAAAAAAGAGAATAAAAAGAAAAAAAGATGCTCGCGGCGGGTCTCGAACCCACGAAATTGGCCCTAGAGCAACTTTTCCCCCATATATGTTGCTAATCCTTTTTTTTTTTCGCACCAAACCACCCACACGTGCACAGGAACGCCCTCAAACACTATGCAAATGCCTCTACCGCACCTGTAGCGTACATACATCACAAAAATTGGCCGTTTTCAGAAAAAATGTTCCATTTTTGTACAACATTCCCACCAGAAACACGGAAAAAAACTGAACAAATACAGCTCAATGAACAAGAATGCGCCATCGACTCTACGGCCTCCATTCCTTCGGGGTCGGGCGCCTGTGCGACTTGTACTTCGTCTTCTTGCCCTCAGGCCCTTGCACACGCGTCTCGCGGTACATGAGGGCGTGTGTGTACGCCTTCTTGCAGTAGCCCTGGACTACCGAAACAGCCTGTCTATCCTTCTCTGGTCTAAAACTCAGCGGCACGTTCTTGCGCAAGCATTCCAACGAATATTTGCAGTTCTTTCGAGTCCAGTCCTTCGCTCGGCCCCAAACAAGCTCGATGGGGTTATACTCGCAGTGGTACTTAGGAAGNCTTCAACTTTCAGACATATTGCGCCGGCTTGAGATGCGGGGAGTGGAAGGGGGGATCGTCCCCCCTCCGAAAAACCAAGTGCTGTACCGTGCCGGCTGGGAGGTTCGGGGTATCTTCGAGGATGGTCACGGGGTCCATCGGCGCAAGCTCTTCTCCGTTCCTCACACCACCGACACCCAAGTTCATTCTCTTCACCGACGGTGCGCCGACCTCCATGCAGTCATGACAGGACGACCAGTCGAACAGGCCTACAGGCTTGTGCTCAGGGTAGAGAACTGTGAACATGTCGAGCACGTCTGACATGTGGTCCAGCATCCTGAGCCCGGTCCAGTATCCCTCCTTGTTCTTGCCGTACTCGAAGAGGTGGTAGGACCAGTACTGTCCATGCTCGTTTTCATGAAGCATGTCGATGGGGCGGAACTTCTCCACCTTCACGTTTTCCCCCCGTCGCTTCGCGGCAGCTGAGGCGGCGCATCGTTTCCTGCGGTTGCGCTCCGCGTCCTGGATCTGTGCCCGCGACGCCGAGAAGAAGCCAACGTTGTGGATTATCGTCCCCGACACCATGATCCCCTGGCCTTGTGACTTCTTCACGGGCACATGCTGGCCGTCCCGATACCACGCGCGCCTCTGGTCGTCGTTGGCTGCAAATACAAACAAGAAACCGACAATTTAGGGGCGGCAGATGTGGCGCTGTCAACATGTGTGATTAAATTTAAAGTCCCACAATTGAATTGCGAGCAAGATTACTGTTCGCGCCCGGAATTTACACCTAAATTATCGAACCCGCTTTGCTCCGTTTAAAACTAACCTCGAAATATGCTCTCGTCCTGGTAGAGAAGCATGGCCCGCCTCCCGTCAGGGTAGGTTTTCTTGCTCTGCACTCTGGCTTGCAGGTCTTCGGGCAAGTCTGCCAGCGCAGACTCGAGATCATCGACACAAACCCAGACACCACCATCCGGCAAGCGCTCGGTCTCCTCCACCGTCTCGACGTCAACACCCCAGACGATCGCTTCATCCTTGCCCATCGGAATCCATACCTCCATGTAGTCGCGGGTGTCGAACAGCGCCGGGAGGAACTCGTCGTGCCGGTATTCAAGGGTCTTCTTGTCGTCGTGGCCATCGAAGTACAGCCCCTTTTTGCCGTCGTGGTATTCGCATCCCATCTTCTTCAGCCACTCCGTTGCCGTAGAAAGGGAGATTTGGCGCTTTGGCGGCTCGTTCTCCTTCACTTCCACCAGCTTTACTCTCAATCCATGGAAAGCGTTGATGCCGTCCTTTTCCTGCTCCTCCAGCATCGGCATGATGGTGCTGTTCACCCACTTGCGGAAATCCTCCGCCGTTTTATTGGCTTGCCCACTGAGTATCCCGCAGTTCTCGAGCACCCAGCCTTTCGCGAGCTTGAAGACGCCTTCGTCGAGCTCCAGCAAAAACCTGCGCTTGAAGCGACCTGTGTCAGGTTTATTTATGCGTCCGTGGGCGATGAAATCCCGCTCCCACTGCTGTACTGTTTGAACGGTTCTCCGTCCAACCTCTGCTGCGATGGCCAGTGCATCCTTCCGGTCGAAGCCGTCGGCCTGCTGGGTGTACAACTGGATCAATGTCATGGCCACTTGCACCGTGTGCGCCAGCTGAAAGTTGGACAAACAGCTGTCTTCCGTACTTGTATCCTGCGCGAAGGGGGAGTGTCGAGGGTGGCAATAAACCTTTAACTTTCAGTGGCCAATTTGTTTGACAGCAGTATTTCAAGTGTAATTTTTCAAGGTTGAGTGCAGGCAAATTAATTTGCAGAGCGGGTGCGAAGTACGTGCAGGTTGGTCAAACTCCGACGGCGGAGGTTGCAGATTGGTGCCGCCCGAGAAACCCCGCCACGATAAATTAATAATAATGTCGTGAGATGAATTTACAGCAGTGTAGATTATTACAGACCTCAGAGCCCCCAGGTTCGAGCACGGCATGCGTGAAGAAAAAAGAGGATCACACTTAATTTAGACTGTGTAGACTACTGCCCTCACATCGTTCATCTCCGCGGCTGCGCTGATCGTCTTCGCCACATCACTCACAACGCCGTCGAGGAGCTCGATGCTCTCAGCGCGAAACTCGTCCGCCGCTGCCGCCAGCACCCGAGCTTTCATCTCCGCCCCTTTCGCACGCCTAATCTTCTTTGCAGCTTGAGATGTGCTGTACGTGCCCTTGTTCAGGTATCTCCTCTTCGCCTCTTCGGCCCACTCGGGTTCGAACTCTATCCACGCCCGCACGACTTCTTCCAGACTGCTTGCAGAGAGGTTGAATGCCCCAGGAACGGCCTCCTCTAGTTCCTGCCGAAGTGTCAACGCACGCATCCGCCGGGCCGCCCTCCCCAACTTTCCAAAGAGCCGCCCACTGTAGTCCCGTTGTCCACCCCAATTAGGATCTCGCGATCTTTGCGCGCCTGCGAGACCGGGTTCTTGTAGTGAACCAACGGCTGGCGCTGCGGCTCGAACTGCGGGTGCTGTTGAATCCCGCGGTGGTGCTCTCTGCACCGGGGCGTACGCTGAGTTCTTGAGTTGAACGGCATCCCAGTCAGCAGCAGTCACCTCGTCTATGATGATTCCCTCCGCGACGGCGTCGCGGCCGCGTGGCTTCCCAGACGTGATCCAGCGGCTCCGCCATTTCAACTCAGTATTGTTGGCTCGCGACCTTGAGTGCAGCACTAACCGATACTTTCGTGGCTTCTGTCTCTCGATGCTGAGCTTGTCGCGCAGCGTGTATCCGTCGGGAACCAACTGCTGCAGGCAGGAGACCCTCTCTTGGTCGAGTTCCATTTGGTTGCCGGTCTTCACAACAACATGTGTACACCTACCGGCGGCTGTGTGCGACGCGGCCCAAGCGGTGGTTCGGCCGCGATTTTTTTGAAATTTGAAACTTGGTTTATTTCTGTCTAGGGCTCCTAGGGCCTGGCAAAAAAGAGTTCTGAACCAGGTGATTAAGAACCAGTTGGTTTCAAGGGTTCCAAAAATATATATATTTTTTTCAGAGCGGTGGTGGGGGCACGATAGGCCTGTCCTCCATCGGCCGTTTTTTTTTCCTTTTTCGGCCGCTTTTTTTTTTTCTCTTTCGGCCGCTTTTTTTCCTTTTTCGGCCGCTTTTTTTCCTTTTTCGGCCGCCCCAATTTTTTTTCGGCCACCCCAATTTTTTGTTCGGCCACCCCATTTTTTTTTTCGGCCACCCCAATGTGTGCCCGTACTAGCCCGTACAGGTACCCTTTTAACACCCTCTCGTGCATCCTATGCTTGTTGCGCAAGATGGATCGGGGCTCGTCCATTTATCTGTGTTCTTTGGAAGTAATTAACTCTGTGTCTAGTCACAGCAGTAATGCACCGGTTTATCACTACTAGTCATCATTGAGAAAAAGAGAACTATTTCATACCATACGCCTCCGAAGCATACTCTTTCGTGTTTCATCTCTGCGAGCTGCGAGCTATGGGCGAGCTGGAAGCTGGAAGTTTTTTGTGTGTGTGTGTTTTTTTTTCAAGTGCGGAGACGCGGAGACCACCGCGCAAGTGAAAAAATGTTCGAAAAGGGTAGGTAGGTACGTAGACTCCCCACAACATTGAATTTATGGGGGGGGGAGGGGGGTGGCCCATTGAAATCGGACATTGGCCGTGGCCGATTTGGAATCGGCCGTAGCCGACTAGGAATCGGCCGTAGCCGACTGACATTCGGCTATCCCCTGGCCAAAATCGGCTGCTTTGTTTGCAAAATCGGCCACTTTGTTTGCAAAAATTGCGGCCGTTTTCCGGCCGAAATTTTCAGAAATCGGCTCTTTCGGCCGCGGCCGATGGAGGACAGGCCTAGGGCACGACAAATCGTAGTTTACGGGTTCCGCCGCGTTTTTGGTGAAACGGTATATTCGGCATAACTCGTCACCAAGGTGTCTGTGAAAGCTAAAAGTGGGTTCATTCGAAAGCCCTGGTTCATAGCTTTCGAATGGTGTGTATTTTGTTGGATAAATAACCAGGCCCTAGAGAGAAATTTATCATGTGGCCTGTGGGCGGGTCCAGGAAAACTACACCTTTACATCCAACAGGAAAATAAGGCGGGTACAGACCGGTCGCCCCGGTGGTCTAGTGGGTAACCTCGCAGCCTTCTAAGGACCAGGTCATGGGTTCGAGTCCCGCCAGAGTGAGTGTTCTCGCACTCATGAAATCCTGGTCTCCGTTCGAAGCGACGCGCTACAAAGAAAGCTCGTCTAGTCTACACTTGATCGACTTCATCAGTCGCGAGGGAAGGAATTGCTGCAGATTACCCTTCTCGCGATAAAAACATCTCAGGCAGAAACCCCAGGAGAGGGTCCAACCCCCCCCTCCTACGTGACCCCGGTTGGGTCGTCTAGCTAGTAGAAGTGGAGGAGAGGGGCCAGAGGGGCACACGACAGAATCCGATGATGGGAACAAGAAAAAAAAAGACAGGAAATGGTCGAACGGTTGTTGTTGTTGTTGTTGTTTCTCACATTAGCTCTAAAAAAAAAANGGTTGGGTCGTCTAGCTAGTAGAAGTGGAGGAGAGGGGCCAGAGGGGCACACGACAGAATCCGATGATGGGAACAAGAAAAAAAAAGACAGGAAATGGTCGAACGGTTGTTGTTGTTGTTGTTGTTTCTCACATTAGCTCTAAAAAAAAAAAA